TACGTTTTAGTCCCATATGTTGTAGCATTTCTGTTAGCATCTAATTCAATTCCTTCACTATTGTTTGCACCTGAATATGAAAAAACTTCACTGATTATCTCAATTGACTGATGAAAATCACTATTACCTCTTCGTACGTATGCATTCACTGATGATGATAATATTCGAGGCGTCTACAATAAAAAAAATTATATAGCTTCTTGTGAAGGCTTTTTTGACAAGAAAGTTACTATATCTTCAATAATGCCGATATTACGAGCTTGTTGAATCAATGTTGTTGAATCTAAAAGTGATCCTCTATAGCGGACTACATAATCGTCAGGATTTACATTGATAACATGAAGTTGTTCAAATTTTCGGACTATACGTGTTTGAGGAGCTTCGTAAACAATAATAGTACAACATGGTCTTGGATATTTTATAGCAGGAGGAGCCTGTTGAACAATCGTACGGCGTTCAGTTTGACGTCCGTATGGAATCCATCGTTCAATTATAATATCTCCTAAATAGAAACAAAACAACAATCAGAAATTAAAAGCAAACAAAGAGAAAATGGAGATAATCGTTGTACGTGGTTTTTCTGCAAGAGGTGGATAACGTTCGATGACAACTGATCGTGGCGGAACAGGTATGGGGGGTAAGGTACGAGTAACTGTAAAAAAAAAGATACATTGATCAACCAAATCTATGTCGTTTGAATTTCTTATGTTTCTAACTTGTTTCATTTGGGAGAATTGGTGGTGGTGTTGGTGGTCGTTCACGTAAAATGAGTGGTGGTTGTGAGCAAAGAGGTGGTGGCTGTTCACGTATGATCAGTGATGGAGGAGGTGGTGGCTGTTCTGCACGCACTTCTTTAATAATGACTGTCTAAAATCATAAAAATACTGATATGCTTGGATTTCAGACAATGTATTTCATTACTCCTGATGGTGGAAGAGGTGGTGGCTGAAGATATCGAACAGAAACTCGTTGTTCATATGTTGGTGGCCTTTCAGGTGTTGTTCGCCTAATAATTTGTGGATTCTTACAAAGATCAATACCATGATTTTCCAGATATAGTTCCGTTTCTTCTACACTTCTAGTAACAATTGTCGTATCACTAATATAATCTTTTGATATTGTTGTAGTTCTATATAAAGAATATTCATTAGTTGTAGATTCAAAAGCATTCTGATTAATATCTTTACGCTCATACCGAT